CCATCATGGCACCGGATACCGGTACCCATCCCTAGACAAAAGACACTGTCTCAATGCTGGTTTCATGTGAAACTAGTGTGCTAGTTTCATTGATTAATATTTTTGAGTGAGATAAAGCTGCCTCTTTTGTACTTTTAGATATCTAGCATGCATTTTCTTAGTTAAATAAACTAAACATTTTAAGTTATGTGAGGAGCACACAGCATAACAGGGAATTCAGCAGAAATGACACAATATTTGCTGTCCACTGACAAATCAATCGTTCTGATAGACAGCTTCAACATTCCTGTGCTACGATGTGTAAATGCATGGTATAAGTATATTTTGGTAACACTATATTGGGTACAGATTTATTGCGTTATTATCCAAGACAATATGAGGTGGCTAATATCTACTGATGATCTGATATTTGCTTAGGAGCATGCTAAAAGGATTTTCTGAACCTCTGCTGGTAAACCAGAGACTCTACAGTAAACTGAAGCTAAACTGAAACAAAGTTTAGCTTAAAACACATTAACAACGTTCAGTGGACGGGCATAAGTGGTTAATACCTACCAGAGCTACTGTCTTAGCTTCAGACATTTGGGTTAAAAAATACCTGTTTCAACTAGAATCCGTGCACATGGACGAAAACCTGGTGAAAAATATCCAGTGTTATGCTGCAAACCTGCTGTTTCAGATCATGTTTTTTGGCTTGTTAATAGCTTCTGTTGAGCCTGCAGTACGCAGGGACAGAGTCAGTGGAAGCAATACAAAGACCTACGAATACACAGAGTGTGTTAGACAGAGGGCAGTTACTATGCTGCTTCTATTGAGTCATCATGAATAACAGGTCAATTGTAATTGCTAACCAGTATGTCGTTCTCTGGTCTGCCTTCTAAACAGCAACCCTACCTCACACTGAAATAAAATCACACACAGCTTCGCTCTTTTTTTCAGCCTCTATCTTTTCATTTTCCTAATATTGCCAAAACGATCACATTTACTCTCTTCCTCCTCATGTTTGGTTTATTGTCTTCTCTTTTCATCATTTCAGCTTTACTCCTTTGTCAACTGCTTTTGTATCGTGTGTCTTACATTCTCTTGGTTTCATTAAACACAGACCTTTCTTTGACGCAGCTAATCAAGTCATAAATTGAGAAGTCGCATCAGCGTTCTATAACAGGCAGAGCAGACGGTCACGCTGAACCAGACAGCAGCCTGCTGCACAACACCAGCGCCAGACCGCATTAGCTTTTCTTTTAAAGTCTGCTTATCTAACGTCGTCTTGTCTGCATCTTCCTCATCTTGTCATGCACCCTGCTGGACGAGCTACCAAATTAAAATTAACTGAGGAACAAATGTGCTGCTGATGTCAGTTTGCAGGCTAGATCGTGAATAACATGTTTAGATCATGAAAGGTGGTCGAAACATGGCCACAGTTTGGTCTGGTTAGGTCCTTTTTTATTAGTGACAGTAGCTGCTTGTGGACCACTAACAACATGCTGTCCCCACATTACACGTAGGCACTGTTTAGTACTTTGTATCTTTCCTTCATATCACTCAGAGGTATTAAGAGTATTGAGGTCATACAAATATTAATATATTACTCCCAGAAGAAAGTAATATATTAGACTAGCCATTTACTTTTGCATTACTCTGTAACATAGACATATAAATAACACTCAGGTTATAAGCGCTGTGTTAGCGTGAAGAGATGTTTGAAGTTAAGTTTGCTGATCATAGCAAGAGGCGCGTTTAATGCAAGCTTGAAAGAAACCTTAGTAATGCAATGAATGGCATAATTGAAACTGTAATGTGATAAATGCGACTGTCGTACTCAAAATTGTAATCTGATTACCGTGCTTTTTTAAAGTTCTTGTACTTGTTTTTAAATCTGTAATCGCTTTGTGAACTTTGTGAACCCTGGTTTTGCTTTATAAATAACGCTGGTGTGGTATGGTGCTTTGTTAGATTACATCCAGCACTGGTCATTGACATAATCCTTGCGCTGGCTGAGATAATAGAATAGAATAGAATTCAACTTTATTGTCATTGCACATGTCACAGGTACAGGGCAACAAAATGCAGTTTGCATCCATCCAGAAGTGCTTTAGCCATGATATAGATATATTACAATATATATTAGCAATAATATAGTAGTATGTTACAGAAATGGGTCTATTGTTTCTCCAAAAACTTTTTTCACGTCTATGACGGCGCATTTTGTTTTTTGCTTGTCTGGCTGTCTCGCTAAATCAGGAACTCTTTGAAAGAATTTCTTAAAATTTTGCACTTGAAGTCAAAGCAAAACTGATTCGATTTTAATTAAAGTCAAGGACACAGTTCCACACAAATGTTCAACGGGATAAAACAATACAGTGATGAAACTAGTGCATATTTTTTATGTGTAGACAGGCATGCATGTTTGCGAAGCACCACAACCACAATGGTGATTCTAGTTTCTTCCTTTTAAAAGGTACTTTCAGCTGCTCCCTTCACAAGGGGTTGCCGCAGTAGGTTGCTCCACAGTTTTGATTTGCTAGCTTTTTAAGCCCGATGCCCTTCCTGATGCAACCACCGGGGGATTTGTACTTCCTCCTGACATCAAACCAGCAATCTCTCGCTTCTTACGTATGTGTAAACTCTCCACTATTCGGTTTCGCCTATTTAAAAAAAGTATTTGCACTACATTATAAAATCCCGTCATACTCCTTGACAAAAATGGAGTTTAACACTTTAAAAGTCACGCTTTAGAAGGTGACACAAAATAAACTTGTCAGTCAAAAGATTTTCAGCGAAAAGCACTATAAATCACACTGCTGTGAAATGTTTTTAACAGGTTTGAGTCAGGCTTTGAACACATTGTTAAAATTCTGTTTGCATAGAAGACTTTAAAGCCTCCAATATTTTTGTGTTTCTGTAGTTTGCGAAACACGAAAAGAAAAAATCCAAAAGGAAAATTTCACATTCAGTGTGAGAAACACGCAGATTGCTGGACTGAACAGCGAGTCTGACGGCTTGTTCTTGGGCTGCCTTTGTAGCCAGTACATGATCAATCTTGCATCAAGAAAAATGTTCGTCACACGGAAACGGTGCGCTGACAACGGCTGTCAAACAGAGTCAGACCGCAGACTGTCAGCTCGATGTGTCAGGGTTAAAATGTCTCCATCACTACCCACCCTGCCTCTGTGTCTGTGTGCGTGCATCTGCTTGTGGTGTATTTCTTTCACTTTTACTGTTACACACATAATCATCTCTCTCTATCTCTGTCCTTTCATCCACTCATCTCTCCACTTGTGAGCACTCATATAACAAACTTAAATGCACCATTACACAGGAAGCTTTGATCTAGGCTCGTGTGCATCTCTTTGCATGCCACTATACTTGTAAAGAAACAGATGGATGAGAATGGCAAGGTTAGAGAGGATTTTGTTTTCTTCTTATCTGATCATTTATTAGATATTTATTAGATATCTTCATTAAAAAAAATACCTCAAAATGTTGCAAAATTCTCTTTCACCCATATAATATAATATGACTTCTGTTCTGCCTGGTTTAATTGCGAGACTTTGTTGATGAAACACACTATTCCTGTCTATAATACACACATTTTATGCTGATTTTACTATGACTGGATGTTTAAAACTGGATGTCTTTGACTCTGACAAGCAGATTTTTTCACCATTCGATTCATAAATATTTAAGACTGATTTCAGATTGTCTTTCATCTGTATTTTTTCTTGAGTTTTTTCCTTCTCCCTCTTTTTTTGACCCATTTTAAAGTGTACTTATCATTTTTAACATTACGTTGTACAAGGAAATGTTTTGTTTTTAGGATACTGTTGTAATCATCGTCTCCTTCCTCGACTCTTCCAGCAGTAGCGGAGTCAGTCTCCCTCGGCCTTACTACATGGCTGATGAGGATGACGAGCGTCCTTTTATCTGCTCCCTTCCTGTTGACAATGGCATCATGTCTTGCTCCGATGTGCCGGCCCGCCGAGAAGGAGGCAAGACGTGCTGCCTGGACAAAGATGACATCCTGTATCGCCAGTCCATCGGTCTGAGCCCCGAGCCCCTGGCCAACGGCAGCGTCAGTGTAGCAGGGCTCTGTGTGAACTGGAACCAGTACTACACCAGGTGTCATACTGGGTACAGCAACCCCCACAAAGGAGCCATCAACTTTGACAACATTGCCTTTGCCTGGATTGTCATCTTTCAGGTAGGTTTTTTTTGTTTTTAACCTGAGGCTGTACAAGTAAATCGAGTAATTAAAACACTGTTTAACTGTGTGATGATTCATCCTCTGTCATTTTTATAATTCATGATATCTGATGCTGTTAAATAATACAAGGGATACATATCCAGGTGGCAGTGTGTTGGAGTGATTAGCAATGTTGCCTCACCAAAATCAAGGTACTGGGTTTAAATTAGGCTGGGTGGGGGTTTATATATGGACTTCGCATGTCAGTGAAGGTTGTCCAGCTTCTCCCACAGGTTTAAAAATGTGTGGGTTTAGGTATTAAGGTAACTGATGATTGGCCTCCTGCAATCCTGCCTCCAACCGTGTCACAGCTAGGATGGACCCCTGCAACCATTATTTGGCTAAGCAGAGGAGGATGCAATGATTATAATGCATATAAATTAGAGATGGCACGATACCACTTTTTTATGTCCGATACCGATACCGATATTATAAATTTGGATATCTGCCGATACCGATATGAATCCGATATAGTGTGTTTTTTAATCAATAAAACCTTTTTTAATATCTTGCTGCATTTTGTATAAGTTTATACTCAAGTTTAAATAAATAACAACACTAAAGCTATTCTGTTATACCTGTATGTAAAAAATACACTGCGTCCAAAATATTTCATAGTTCAGCAATACCGATCAATCTAATAAACTTAAACCTACTCCATCCTCCCTATTCTGGTATTTTAAAGAGTACTTAGCAGAAATATTAA